GAGCAAAGGCAGGGGACTCCTTGGAGCATGCTGTAGCCCCTGAGCTCCTGGGGCAGCATGGCCATGACACTGCTGCACTGCTGGGCTCTGTGCTGCTCATCAGTGTGACTTGTAGCATCCTTTGTTGTCATGGTCTCTCACTTTGCTGCACATGGCTGTTATTCCTTCGGCAGTACAAATGAAGGGGAGCACAATGTGGGCTGCACTGGCAGCAAGGTGAGGTACGCACCCCTGAAATTAAAATGACCACTTTCCCCCCACTCACCAGCCCACCCAGACATACACAGTCAGTCAAACACACTCTGCCATAAAAATACCATACTTCTTAAGGGAAAACATGCAGAGCCTGACTGGTTTTCTATCAAAATTTCCATGAACTTTCTGCTGCTTCTTGAACTGAGCAGGGAAGGTTGGAAGCACCAGCAATCTCTCCACGTGCAGGACACTTGGGTTTTGCAGGTTAGGAGGCGGATGAGAACGTGATGATCCTTTGACACTCAAAAATGAATACTGGGGGTGAATTACTCCAAAGCAGCACGCAGCTTTCATTGATACTTCAGGAATCGGCTTCATCCAAATGGGGAGAAAATCCAGCTGGCCCAAAGCCCTTACAAGCATAAATGCTGGTTTTCCGGTACATATGGCAGTACCATTCAAAGAGCTATGACAATGATACTGTTTATAGCTCTGAAAATGGCGCTGCCATCTGCACCATGGTGCAGCGGCTCTCGTCCCCAGTATGTGACTCTGCAGCAGGACCCTGCTCTTCTACATGCTCAAGTGTCCTGCTAAACACAGCACAACTCCCAGGCTGTTAGCTGAAATAAATGAGAATGAAGGCTCGATTTTGGCTGAGAAATCCCTGCTGTCTTAAGGAAAAGCACCCTTGAAGTTCCCGTTGTGGTTGGCTGGAGGAAAAGACAAGGAGGCACTGGCTGCACGGTCTTCTGCTGCTGTTGCTACAGTTGGCAGTTGGGGAAGCACCGGTCTCCAGCATGCTATTCCCTGCAAATGCTAAGGAGGCTGTCGCAGTGGTGCAAATGGAATATAATGCACAAGACCACAATCGTAAATGCATATACAAGTGCCAGTTTCCTCTTTTACCTTGTGTTTTAACAGGAGAAAAAGGGAAAACCTTCCTCTCTCTCCTGATTTCCCCCCTAAACTTGTTTTTTCCTTTACTTTTGATTAGAGTCAAGGTTTTGCAGTGGGAGAACACTGCACTCCCCTCCCAGACTAGTCAGTAAATGCTGCACAACATCAGACGTTAATTTCTCCTGGGGAACAAGCACGTGGCATTCGCAGGTCATGATGCACACACTGCACCTACGTAGCAAGTTGCCAGATATCCACTTTCCAATTAATTCCCGTGTGCTGCTTGCAACGAAGCATTGATCCTTATTATTGCCCTTTCCAGCTGGAAGTCAGACCTAGGCTGGGTATTTCCAGTTGCTCTTTGAGAGCAGTTTCAAAATGGAAAGATTTACGCTTTGAAGAGCTGTGCAGCCCCTCACCGGTGTTGCTGAACCATATTTCCAAGAGCACTGTGCTATGACTGCAGCCATAACCCCTATCAGAGATTATCGTTATTACACTAATGCATTGTTAAGGTAGGTATAAAGAGAAAAACGAGCCTTTCCTTCTCCTTGGCAGTGGCCTGCAGTCTCCAAGGGTAACTGTGAGAGAAGTTCTTTGTTACAAGTTGAAAATACTTTTTCTCATGTCAGGTGTGTTCCTATGATGGGCACTGACAGCTTTCCTCTCAGTGCTTTTAAGCCTCATAAAACCCCCAGCAGAATCTCAAATAACTTTTCTGCAGCCTCACTGAGTATCTCATCAATAACAACTGTGATGAAACCCACTGGGGGACATAAACAAGGGCAAAAAAGAGAAGCAGAAGAACAAGAAGCAGTTTTATCATCCCAGCTCTGTCTCTAGCCCATCCTAAATTGGCCCAGAGCTGTTATAACCTGTGGTGGTGACAGTGGCTCATGGGGTTGGCTGGAAGACTACTGCCACACTCTTAGTAGCTGCTTGCTCTCTCTCAGCTCTGAATCCTCACCTACACAGAGCATCCCTACCACATACATATTTTGCCTTCAGTTTAACAACTAGGGATAGTATCACAAGTAATTCAGTGGTTTAGAGTGAGGCTAATGTAAGGGCTAAAATAGCATTAGGGAGTTGAGTTACAGAAATATAAACAACTTTATTTTCTATTTACATTATAATAGAAAGGGTTCTAAAGGACAACACAGTCTCAGAGAAAACATCTGCATAGTTTTGAGCATGTATTTTCTAAGTTTTAATTTGATTTTAAAGACAAGACTTGGCAATACTTTGAATTTACTTGGCCCATGAAGGGAATACATTACACAAGGTGCTGCGTTGTTTTATGAAATCATTGTTCAAAAGCACAGTCAATCCTCCTTTTTGAATACAATTTTGGGGAGCTATGGATCTGCTTTCTGTAGTATTTCAGGAAATGCATGCTGTGAAAGCTTTGTAAATAACTGTTTAAGGGACCAGGAATGTAGGAGTGTGTTTTTGTGTTTCTCTGGCTCTGTAGGTAATCACGGAAGCTCAGCAATGGCTTAATGAATCTGTTGGAAGACTTCTCCCTTTGACCAACCCTGTGGAGATCCATTTGGGGACCCCACAAATGTAGCTTCCTCCCAGAGTGTGATTGTTTTAGCTGCAATTACTTGCACCAAAACACTGTAGTGCAGGTTCATTCTGCCCCGATGCTCCAGCTCTGCTCTGACTCACAGTGAACCTCTCATTATCTTTCACCAGTGACACTGAGGCAGAGTCACCCACATCCTTAACAAAAGAGATGGGGAGGCAGCCCCAACCAAAGTACTGTTCTTAACTTACTCTATCATTACAGCCTGCCAGGGCTTATCATTTCATCACAATTTCATGTTTTGGAACAGCTACATTGACTTCCCAATGAATTATATGGTTCAGAGAATGTCTTGGCAGCCTGCATGGGGTTTTTTTGCAGACCCTAATGAAAGCAGTTGTGACTTTAAAGACTGTGACAAATAAGGACTGGCCTTATCAGCATCAAATTGTGAAATACAGCTCTGCACATTTCACAACCAGGATAGCAGGAGTGCATCCTGCAAAGGAACCTGCCAAGCCATGGGGTCAGAGCCCCAACTGCTGCTAGCAGAGCAGTGTAAGAGGCACTGGACTTTGCTGAGCTAAGATGAGGTGTCTCTGCCAATGGTAGAGGGGTTGGAACTAGATGATCTTAAGGTCCTTTCCAACCCTAACTATTCTGTGATTCTGATTCACACAAGTGTGAACTTGCTTGTGCCAGTGGCACTTGGCTTTTCTGTCTTTGCTCCTTTCTGAAACCGAGCTACTCTCACTGTTGTCCTGAGCTGGAGGGAGGTATTTTTCACTTCAACCAGGAAAGTGTAAAATCCTACCAGACCAGACTGGCAAGGTTCTGTAGCTGTTTAGCACAGACACAATTGACTACAGTATGGAAAATTGAGATTTCCATCTCTGTGACGAGCGGAGCCAGTGAAGAGGTGCTATGTTCAAGTGTTACTGGGTCACAGGATTTGGCAGCACCTCAGCTTGGATTGCTGCAGACAGAGGTAATTATTTCAGCATAAAGTGAGTTAGCAGCACACAGAGCTGGAGAACGTAGATCACCATTTTCTTGTTCTCTTCAGTTGAGGTATTTGGGAGAACTGCAGTCAAGACAGATTACAACTAAGTGATGGACATGTCAAGCAGTGTTTGTGTAGGGATAAGAGCATGTGGCCATATGATGGGAAATGGCAGAGGAGAAATTGCTAGAGAGAGGAAAGCAGACACAAAAACTCACATGAGGACATTTCACAAACACCTGACATACAGAACCAAGGGAATAACAGACACGTTAGACATCTATGTCTGAGATTTAGAACTTTGAACACTGTGTTCAACCCCCATCTAATTATGAATGCCCAGTAAAGTTTTTTAGATCCCTAAATGCAAAGAATACAGAAGAGTTACAAATCTGCTTCAAGCAAAAACTTCAAAAGCCTCCTAACCTAAGTTTGAGTGAGTCTCAGCTTTCCAGCTCCATCCCATCACTCGGACAGGCTGGCACTGGTGACAGCAGCTCAGTGAGCAAAACCAAATTTGGAGTTCAGCCTTCAGGTCATTTTATCCCAGAGAGAGTAAAACTTGTTTCTTGCCCATCACCTCCAGACTTGTCCCTGGTTTTGCATACTGATACCTGCTTATATTTTCTGTGGAGTTTCCTCCATTCTGCACAAGTGTATTTACATATACATGCAGTACAGGATGATTTTTTAACTTCTGTGGCTAATGCCCCTGCTTAGGAAAAGGAAGGTGCTGTGGGTGCCACCTCCCAAGCCAATGGCCAATGGCACATCAGCAGCGGAGAAGAACCTGACAACGTGCCCTCTGCATCCCTTTCCAAAGAAACATCTCAGAGGAATGTGACCAGCAGAATGAGGTCTTCTTTCACCCCACCTCACTCTTGTTGCCCTGGGTGCCAACACAGTTTATGTCCCCCCATGAAGCCTTCCAGAAGGTGACATGACACGGTGAAAGTGTCTGATGGCCTGAGACTGCATTTGCACTCTGTGCACGCCTATTAACAGACATGCAAAAACGAGTTGTAGACAGGCAGTTGGCTTAGGTAAAGGGGTAAATTGCAGAATTATAATCCCCACTGGGAGTGCTCACAAGCAATGGAGTTCTCCTTGAAGTCAGATAGTGCTTGTTTGTGGTGTCCTTTAATGGTGTAGAACAGTGTCTTTTCATAGCTGATATGTGCCTTCAGAGTGCTTGTATGCAGAGCCTGGCCAGGAGTGGGTTACCTGAGACAGAGCAGTGAGATGGGTAGGGCAGCAGGAAGCCTAACAAGCCTCATGTGGAGAGGAGGAAATAAAAGCAAAGGTGGGAGAGCAGCACTGTGGGGTGCTGCAGTGGGTGCAGTGAGTAAAGGAGCTATGTTAGTACTTGGCTTGTCCTGGAGCTCATCAAAAAGGTGAGGGAAAGATACTATGAGAAGCAGTGATAGCTGTGTTAATCCAGCTCTCATTGACAATTATTACAGCTGAGGGAATCTTTGTGGATTGGGAGTTATGGTGTTTGCAGCTGGGCTCTTCCAAGTGCTTCTCTTTGTCTTTCTCCCAAGTGAGACAGGGTGCTCTGTCTCCTCTCTGCCTGTCTAGCTGTATTTGGCTGTGGGGATGAGGAAGGACCTGAATATTGCTGAAAACTGGAGCTGCTGTCATAGCCTTTAAGGCACAGGAACTGAACTCACAGGGAATGAAATCGTGTGGAGTGATGCTGGCAGTCATCACAGGGAGACTGCTCTCCATATCCTGGACACTGCAAAGGGTGAGAAGCCCTGTCCTTTAAGGAGCTTCATGGGTGCTCTTGGACCTGTATGTATACCCAGAAGATAGTCCAACTGGCTCTGAAACACCCCAGAGTCTTCTCCTAATCCTTCAAGTTTCAATTATGACCAGCAACTGGGGGATGCTTGAAGTTACTGAGTTTTTTCTTTGCTCTAAGAAGGGCTCAGTGTTCCCTTCCTGTTCAGCCAGGGATGCTGCCTCTGTGTTTGAGGTCCCTACTTCATGTTGGTCTACTTTAAACTAGCAACTTATGCAGCTTCCACTGCATTCACAAAGGCATTTTGGCAACTCTTTGTTGCTGAGGAATGTCCTTTATTTCTTACAGCCTTTGAAGGGATGGTGCCAGTTCTCCATCACTGGTTGGGAGTTCTACGGTGCGAAACTTCAAAAGCAGGTTGAGCACCAGCACAGAGAGCAGATTGCAGCCTGGTGACAGCTCTGACTCTGCATATGCTGCATCCTACCCAGGGAACCTGGCTACGGAGAGTTACAGATGGCAGAAACAGAAACTGCGTTCTCCTCTTTGAACTCTGCTGTCTTAAAGCAGCTGTTGAAATCTGCTGTCTCTCTTCAATGTCTGAGTGTCCTAATGAGGAATAAACAAAAGCATTGAAGGGAAAAAGGAGAGAAACTCCCTGCCTGCCACAGATCTGTTGGGGTAATTGGAGGCTCTGCAGGTACTGGGAGTTATAATCTCTCCAGGTCTGTGGCTTCATTGCCTGGCTGCAGAGAGCATGGTCTAGACAGCAGGTGGAGGGATTGGTAACACTGAGATGCTGGAGCAGCTCTGGGTGTCTGACACTGAAGAGCCAGATGCATTCTTGTGTCTTCTGATGATCAAGTATCAGTTCTTGTGACTTTCAATCTCAGTTTCAAGGTAGGAAGATTGCCATTGTAACCACCAGGATTTTTTTGGTCCTAAAATGAGCTCTGCTCTTTTTCCCTACTCTCTTTCCAGAAACATCTTGAGCAGGAAGCCAATTTCACACTTATTCCCTTCTTCTTTTTAATGTTGAGCTAATTGGAGCTGTGTGTCTGGAACTGCCTGGTCCCTGGAGCATACCCATGATGCTTGTCCCACCGTGGGAGGAACTCAGCTGGAGCCCTGCACACCATCTGGGAGAAGAGGAAGCCTCAGAGCTGTCAGAAGGTTTAATGGACTTAAGACAGGTACTGAAGTTTTCCACATTGCTATAAGAACCTCTCATGGTTGTATCTAAACTCTAGGAATTATTAGAAGTCCTGTATCCTTTATGCATAGGTTGGTCAAGCCAAGGGCCACAGAAAGCAGCTCTGTTCTGGCATGTGGTGTCATGCAGCCCTAATGTGAAATTAATCCCAGCTTGTTACTGTCTTCTGTATCTTGTTCTACACCTTTTGTGGTACCTACTGGTGAGATCCTGTGCTATTGTAGAACACCCCTTTGAGTGAGATCAACCATCACCAAAAGACAGCCAGTGTTCCCTCTGCATGTTATCTGCAGCATCCTGCAGCCAGGAGCCCAGCCTAAACGTCCTGGGGTGAAACATCCCCCTTCAGCTGAGGTTTCTGCCTCTGCTACACAAATCTTAAACTATACATCAAATTATCCTTTCAATTGGGTTACAATAAATACAGAACAGACACACACAGAGAGCTGCAGTAATAAAAGAAAGGACTTACAGAGCATGTTCATGGTTAGACAGGAGCTGGTCTACTGCAGAAGAGCAGGAGGAGCTTGGAGACAGAGGAACAGCCACTTTTAGTGCAGAGAAGAGGAAAGACAGTGAGGTAGTAAGGAGAGAAAGTAAAAAACACAGATAATTAATAGGAAAATGATTTCCAGCTAGCCCAACATTAAACACCAAGAAGCTATATTCCGATAGTGTCAAAGTTAGAGCTACATCCCCAAGACTCTCACTAAATCAGGGACACTGATTTTTATGCTAGTGGTAGCAATTGGGTTAGAACTGCGTGAGCCACCAGATAGGGTCCTCCTTTATGAAACACTTTGGGAATCCTTCAGCTTTTCAAGAATGTCCTTTTCCTGTCTCACAGATAGGATTTTAGACAGGAATTCTCTGCTGAGCACACTTTCTAAAAGCTCTCCAGTATTGCTCTAGGGAGGGATTTGATAGCTACATGTTGTCTTGCTCCTGTTAATTTCATGAGTACCACCCAGACCACTTGGTCTGTTTAAGGAGCCTCTTTTGAGGAAGCCACCTGTACCTCTTCAACAGTAGTCTAGGGAGTAGTAACTACGTTACTTAATTTCTACCCCTGATAACTGACATGTTCACTGCTAAGAAATATGATTCATGGAGGCAGTGTGGACCTGCCAGAGATCCCTGGCTGGTGATCCTTGAACCTTTTGACTGCTCCAGTATGCTGGAAATGTCTGTCTGCTTTTTCAAGTCTGGATGGGGGAGTAATAGTCGAGCTCCCTGATTGTGTTAGACTGCAGTGCAGGAATACAGCAGTTACTGTTTAATTTTAGTAAAGGTATAACTGTACCTGGCTGCTAGCCAGCACCTGGTGCCAGCTTTAAAAATACACTGCTGTGGGCTGTGAACAAGGTACTGCTGGTCTCTCACCAGCCCTCTGGAGTGTAATGGAGAATTACCAGTGCCTCTGCATGCACTCAACAGCTCAATCTCCTGTCCTAGTCTGCACTTGTCTCCTGACTGGCTGACACGAGCCTGATAAAGTGCAAATGGAGAAGAAAAATTCTTTTATAAACAGCGTCAGTTCAATGCAGAGAAGTTGAGAGCTGCTTACTCCTTTCTATAAACAGGGATTACCTTGGGTTTCAGAGGGGTTTTTCCCCCATTGGCACAGAGCCTGGAGATTTACAGGTACGTATTGGTCCCTGCTGTAGACCGTGAAGTCACTGTTCTCTTCACCTGGGCTACCCCAGGGTTGAAAAGCACCCTACTGTCTGTGTATAGCACAGGACCTTGCTAAATGTCTCAACCAGTTGTATCCTTGGGGGTATCTTTCATTTCTTAAGATACAAGTAAAATAAAAGTCATGTTGTAATTGATAATTTTCTCTAATAAATAACTGCCCTCACTGTTAGAAATGTGTGCCTTATTTTCAATGCAAATGTTCCAGGTTTAGCTTTCAGCCACTAGATCCTCTTTTCAGTGCCTTTTATACTAAAGGTCGTCCTTTGGAAGCTTTGATTAAAGACTGGCTTCCCCTTTGGGCACCAAATAAGAAATCATCTGTGAATTTCTCACTATAAGGCAGGCTTTCAAATAATATTTCAGTTACTTTGTGTTTTGTTCCCCCTGAGGTCACTTCTTTATTTCTACCTTATGTTCCTTTTATTTCTTCATTCATGGACAGGAGAGAACCTTTTGCCCTCCTGACCCATGGGGGTGCTGAGCTGCTGGATTTGTATTCATCTGCCTGTCCTTGCTTACTTACAAGCCTCATCCTCTGTGGACCTGTCCCTTCTCCCGATAGACCCCCCCCCCACTTACAAACAACTCATAGGGATCAGAAAAGGGGACTCTGATCCCTTAACACCTGGCCAAAAAGGGAGTTTTGGGGAATTAAGAGGAGAAGGTAGCTGAAATCTAGCTGCAGTAGTGAAGGCTACCTATGTTTGCCTTTCCAGCCTTAGGTATCATCTCCCCTCATATATCCAGGTCATTACAGGTACATTTCTAAGAACCTGAGCAGAAAGTCATGAGGTGAGAAGATGGTAATTTTATCCCATACTTATATTTTCACTTAAAGGCATACATGCATTTTGCAGATCACAAGGATCTAATTGCCTCCAAAACGCTCAGCACCCAGGTCTGTATTGGAAGCTAAAGGGAGAAGCACTGCTGAAGATCAAAGCACTTTTGTTGAGTCTGGGGTACTCTGAAATATTTGCTTGTAAATCTGTGTATGTGTGTGTGCACCCACTGACTTCAACCATGCTGTGTTCTTCTGGGGCTGTCCTACCTCATGCACAGCAGCCCATACTGCTCAACCCTTAATTAAGCTGACCATAAGAAGCCCAAGGTAAGCATACACAATTTTACTGTCAAATTTTCCAAGGCAAACCCATGTGAACCCATGCATAGGGGAAGAGAGATTTCTGAGGAAATTAATTTAGCCTAGGGCTTACTTTAAAGGATTTTTATGGGTTTGTTTCAATATTTATTAAGGACAAAGATTCTTTCAAAAACAGAGAAAGAAATGGTGTGTAACTGAAGTGCATAATTCCCTAAGTTTTGAGCTGTTGTTTCTATGGACTCTTGCATCCTGTTTACTTCGCTCCCATATGATCACAGATGTTGAACGAGGCTCTGCATAACAAGGGAGTGCCAGGGATGCTGAGGTGCTGCAGAAGGTGCATCTCCTTGCTGGGGAAGTGGATGTGATGCTCCTGCTGGGATGAAGATGTGCAAATGTTCCCATCTTCTGTGCTGACAGTGCTGCCATTGCCAGGTGCTGTGCTGTGGATGGTATGAAACTGAGCTCTTTGAAGATCTCTCAGTAACACTCCTTGAAGTGTCTTTCCTAATTGCTTTCTTGCCTCTGAAATAGTTGCTTTGTTCAGTTTTTGTCTCAAATATTGTATCAAAGTGTTATAAAGTGCTTTTATTTCTAATAAATGCTAACTGTAGTGCTATGAAACTTGTCAAAAAAGCACCATGGGGCATGAATCACACTGAATATATTACATGTGCCTTCAATACATTAATGTAAACCCTTACTGGTTTTTTGCACTAGCAGGCTGATGACAGATTAATGAATGATAAAATTATTCATACATAACATTAACATAAGATACAACTGGCTTCTTGGTTTGTCTTTTCTTCGGTACAGGTACTCGAGTTTGCCTGTTTGACTATGTTTCATGTAGCAAATGCTGCATTCCAGTCCTTCCAAAGTGACAAATTCATGCTGTGTTTCCTTCACTTCTTAAAAAAACCCAAAGCATATTACCAGGGTTTGCACTTAAAACAGCTGTTACATGTCTTTCCAGAGGTGGCTTCGATTCAGGGGTAGGAAAAGCACTGCCAAGACTCAGACCTTTGGAGACTTTGAGGCTAAAGGAATTTCAATACTTTATTTTGAGAGAGGAAAAGACTTCAGTGCAGGATAGTGCTCCCATGAGGATGTCACATTATATGATGTGTGACATAACACAAAGGCAAAGCACAAAAATGGAATAAAAATATGATGGGATGTGAGGAGATGTGAATTAACTTTGTGCCTTTTTCCATTCATACAAATAGATGTGCATGAAATAAGCTAAATCTAGTCTGACATTATATATGCGTTGGATGAGCTGGAAGGCAGTCCAGAAAGAGTTATCCTGTACAGTGGTGTTTCCCAAGCCTTCTTCCAGGGCAAAATGTAAGCTGTAAGCTGATGCCCTTGCAAATGCCATACTAATGCTTGGCTGATACTATGGACTGCCTCAGTACCTGCCTGTTTACAGGTATAGGCAAGCTAATGCTCGGTTAGTGACTGTGATGGGTCAGTGGTCCTTTGCAATACTGAATTCTCCTGGGATTGAATGAACTCACTAACAATGCCTTTTACTAGCTTCAAAAGAATCAACAACCGACCTGAAAGAGCATCTTTCTGAACTAGAACAAAGTTAAGGATCTTGAAAGCAAACACATCCAGCTGCACTTCGATTCATAGCAGACATAGCAGCATTTGCAGGTGCTTCAGCTGCCGTTATAAGCCTCAATGTGCATTCCCACAGCACTGGTGTGTCTGATGTTGTTACTTAAGGAGGCTGCTGCAGGCAGTGATGGCTGCTGCAAAAGCATCTAACAAGTATTGGCTTATATCTGACATTCTTCTCAGGTAATAGATAGTGCTTTATAGATGAAACTAAATGCTCTTTAGTACTGTGTGTCTCTTTAGTTACTGAAGTACTGTGCTGTGTTTGATGGGCTTATGGAATAGCACAAATCAACAGTTTAATTAACATCCCTTCTGTAAGTCTGCAAGAACATCTCTTCAAAGACTGTTAGCCACAGTGACACTTAACAAGTGTCAGTCAGAATCAACAAGCATCCTTGAGGGACATGGCTGACTTTGAAACTATTGGCTCAGTCACTGCCAAGAAAGGTTTAACAAAGCAAGATGGTTATTTTGATTTGTGTGCCGGAAAACAGCATCAAAGAAAAGGAAGAAAGCAGGGTGGACCCCAGCAGCGTTCTGCCTTTGCAGCACAGTACAGTTCAAGCAGCTCAGCTACATCCTAAGGATTACTCTGTTGTGCAAAACTCATTTCAAAACCCGTGCCTGTGCCGTGTCTGTGTTTTCTGGAATTAAAGTCCAGCTGAGGACTCTGTGGTAGGAGTGCCCTGACTCTGGTATATGTGGAAGCGCACTAAACTAAACTGAGCTGCTGCTAGAGCTAACACATCTTCCTCCCATGGTGAAAGAAAAAGAGGAAAAATGCCAGTGAATCTATCTACGAGTTAACTCTTCAGTCTAACAGGATAAACTTAAATTCCGCAGGAAGAAGTGAAAACTGTTGGACCATTCTCAAAAATCCTCATGTTTTCTGCAGTGAAAGTATGAGACTGAGCAATTTCAGCCAGCTCTGCATCCAACTGTGCCTGAGCCATTTCTTCTCTAGGGTCAGAATGCCTCTGTACTTGGAGTTAATTTATAAACATTTTACATAAAAAATGCTGAAGTTCAGTTTGAGCCAAGTTTATGACATATGGGGAGGAAGGAGCCTGCCTCTTTCTGACCAGATGTTTACACATTATCGTTCCCTCCGAACGATCTCTCAGAACAAAAATGCATGTTTCTTGACAGAGTGTGACAGCCGAGTCCCACTGTGGATTTATCAGTTGCCATTGACATCACGGATAGCAGCAGAGGCCTCTTAAGCTTCCAGAAGATGATATTTCCTCTAATCTAAACAAATCAGTCCACCCTTAAACTTCTTTGCTGGTGGTCTGGAGCCTTGCAGCAGATTCCTGCCAGGGCACAGTTACAACCTCCCAACATTGCTCAGGAAAACTCTGAGCTTTTAATGTAAAGCAGCAGCTCATAATACCCTTCAAATACTCTACACTTGGATCTCTTATACTGGTAGCAATAGGAACATGTGTTCCTGCTCACCTGTTGCCTCTGGTCTGTAAGAAGTTAAATCCTTACATAATAGTAGACACTACTAGAAAAGCTCATTCTAGCTGCACAGACATTACTGCCAGTCTTTCCTTATTCTGGTATCTCAGAGTACAGTTGATTACACTTGATGTGGAGTGTGCTAGTAACATTCTCTGTGCTTCAGTGACCTCTTGTGAAGTTCACAGGCTACAGATTTGAGGTTATGATTGTAGAATCATAGAATCATTCAGGTTGGAAAACACCTTTAAGATCACAGAGTCCTGCTGTTAACCCAGCACTGCCAAGTCCACCACTAAACTACTTCCTTAAGTGCCATATCTACACGTCTTTTAAATACCTCCAGGGTTGGTGACTCCACCAATTCCCTGGGCAGCCTGGTGCAGTGCTTGACAACCCTTTTGGTGAAGAAGTATCTCCTAATACCCAATCTAAACCTCCTATGGCACAACTTGAGTCTATTCCCTCTTGTCCTATTGCTTTTTACTAGAGAGGAGACTGGCCCCTACCTCATTACAATCTCTGTTCAGTTAGAGAGCTATAAAGCCTCCCCGAGCCTCCTTTTCTCCAGGCTAAGCACCCCCCGGTTCCCTCAGCTGCTCCTCATCAGACTTGTGCTCCAGACCCTTCACCAGCTTTGTTGGCCTTCTCTGGACATGCTCCAGCACCTCAATGTCTTTCTTGTAGTCAGAGGCCCAAATTGAACCCAGTATTCAAGGTACAGCCTCACCAGTGCTGAGTACAAGGGGATAACTTCTCTTGTCCTGCTGGCCACAGGTTCAATCCAAATATGGATTTGTAAAATAGAGGGTGGTTAACTTGCTTTTTATTAACTGCTTATACAGACTTTGTGTTTAAGATGCCATGAATGTAGACATCAAGAGACAGGAATTTTTAGTAAATTAGTTAACTGGAGGTAGCAGGAGAAATTAAAGAAATACATATTTTTAGAGAAGGAACAGAAAAAAACACCTAATAGCGAGAGCTATTAGAAATCAAGGAAATGATCCCTACAGAGGGTGAAGAATATGCTTTGTCTCTGGAAATTTGAAAACAGACTTGGAACTTTGACATGTGTCATTCACATGTTCCCCCAGCCAGGAGTTACTAATCTTGCACGTTAAAATATGACTACTCTTCTGATTACAATGCCTGCAAAATACAAAGGCTCATAGTGAAACAGTATTTGGATTTCAGATGGCTTGACATCAGTAGTAAGAAAATACATCCACATTCATCCCTATCATGTAAGAAAAAGACTTCAGATACTAAGGAGTTTGTACATCTCAAAGGAGAGAACTACACTTACTTTGTCACTGGTAAAAGAAAAACATGTATGGCTCAATGAGCTCTTTAAGCAAGAGAAATGATGTAATTTAATCAGGATTAAATGAAGGCATAGGGTCAAAGGGAGAATCCAGAACAATCATCCATTGATAGGATTGTGATCAATGAAGGAAGCATATTCCAGGTATAACATGGCAACAAGACCAAAGAGGATTTCCAAAAATGCCTCCTAAATGTGGCTACCTGAACTTTAAACATGCTGTCATCTATGGTAGATGATAGTAACACTCAAGCAGCCTGAGACAGAAACAGAAGAGAAAGAGCAATGCAGAGCTAAGGACTGGAAATCATCATCTAATGCAGAAATAGTCTTACTCAGCTGTATGCAATGGTTGATGTAGTATTTGCAAGACATTATGTACTCCCAAAAGCATAAATAAATACTGCCTCTTTACTGGTGGCAAAGCCAAGCCAAAACCACATCTGTATCAATTCACAGGTCAGGTCATCCATTCAAGATGCAAATGCATACAGAGCAGCAGATGTTAGCAACTATGATCTTTGCTGTGACAAAGAAATAAACCCAAAAGCCTCAAAATGGCGAATTTACTGTTCTGAAATGTTCAGTTTAAGATGCAAAAATGCTTCCAGCTGACTAAGAACTGAAATCACAGGTGGATGAGCACTGTAGAGAAGCTCACAGCAGGCTTAGCAGGTACCTGAACTTGATGAAGCATGTGAACCAGGCAGGTTGGCACCAGCAGCCACCCAGAAGCTGGAAATACAGGCAACAGTTAAGGATGCAAAAAGTTGCAGAATAGTAAAAGGCAATCTAATAACAGTAGATACACTGAAAGTGCTTGACACCTTCCTTGAGATACCAAAGAGTTGTCCAAAATGTCTTGTGAATAACAGAGCTCTTCTCTCCCACAGATCTGTCAAAAGCTTTAGAAGCAAATTTAACTACACCAACAGGGAAGATTTCTACCGTGTGAGTTTACAGAGCAACAGGGGGTTCATA